AAGTTTAAAAAATTTGGCTCTCAAAAGAAATTTCAATTGTTGTACTGTTGATATTTGGCTGGGTTGACTAATGAGTTTGCAGACCACTGGCCTAGGGGATTGGGCCTAAACCAGCAGTCGGACATCTCTCTTACAGTCCGGGGCTCTCGCAGTCCGGAACCCCTCACTGCTTACCGCCCAGCTTCTGGCTGAGCGGTGCTCCCCCTGTGGGAGCACACTGACCACCAGGGAGCAGCTCCTGTGTTGAGCGTCTGCCCCCTGGTGGTCAGTGCACATCATAGTAACTGGTCATTCCACTTCGGTGGATTTACATATTAGGGTTTTATTATATAGGATTATATAAAACTTCACTGTAGCCAAACAAGGGAGGGATTCTCCTGATATCTTTGAAGAAGTCAGCTGTCATACTATGAGAGGATCGAGTTGTTAGAACACGAGTATGGCCTCTAAGAGCTGTATTATGTGCCCCACAATACAGCTAGCATGAAAGCAGGGAACTCAGTCATACAATTACAAGGAACTTAATTTTGCCAACAACCTAAATGAGCCTGAAAGAAGAGGACCCCAAGCCTCAAATGAGATCATAGTCCCAACCAACAAATTAATTTCAGCCTAGTGAGATCCTGAGTAGAGAGCCCAGCTAACCTCTGTCCAGATCCCTGACTTACAGCAACCCCAGATAATGAATGTCTGTTTCAAGCCACTGCATTTGTGGTAGTCAGTTTCATAGTGATAGAAAACTAATACATGCCCATTGCAATGTGACTGGTCAGATGATAAACAAGCCTGGCCAATCACTGCACAGGATCTTCTAACCAGAGCTCAGAGATAGATGTCTTCTCCTCTTTGTTGACAAACATGATTAAGGTTGTTTCATCAGAGCTGCTATGGCCATAAGCAGATTGTAGTGCCCAAAGTTGCACATGAAGCAACCTGGAATGCAGTGGGAGAGAATGAAGCTGACAGTAAGAGAAGAGAGATTAATGCGAATTTCATTCTCTTGCCAATCTCAATATCTGCTTGTCTTAAATCCTCAAATTCTTTGAAGAACATTTTAGTACTTCATTCTTTCTTTCTTTTTTAACCTATCAGTACAGGTTGTTGGCCCAGTTTCTATTAGGTTGTTAATATTTTTAGGAGATATTTATATATAAGAAGATTAGCTTTTATCAGTGATACATTGCAAATTTGCTTTTGTTTTACATTTTCTTCAAAATGTAATCATGTGATTACATTTTTTTTAAATCATAATCATATGATTACAGGACAAATAAACAATCCTATATAATAAAAGCCTAATGTGCTAAGTGTCCAGTCGTCCATTCAACCAATCAAAGCGTAATATGCTAATGATATGCTAAGGCCGCTCAACCTCTCGCTATGACATGCCCTGACCACCAGGAGTCAGACAGTCGACCGGTTGACCAGTCACTATGACATGCACTGACCACCAGATCCTCGGCCTGGCCTGTGCACTCTCGCAATCCGGGACCGCTCAGAGAATGTCAGAGAGCCAGTTTCAGCCTGATCCTGCAGGCCAGGCCAAGTGTCCCCACTGGTGCACAAATTTGTGCACTGGGCTTCTAGTCTATATATATAAAAGCCTAAGCGACCGAATGACCGGTCACTATGATGTGCACTGGTAAGAGGGAGACACTCAATGCAGGAGCTTCCCCCTGGTGGTCAGTGCGCTCCCACAGTGGGAGCACCGCTCAGCTGACCGATCCGTCCCAGTGGCCCACCAGCTGGGCAGCAGCCACTCACTCCCTCAGTAGTCCTGCAGGTCCAATCTCCAGAAAACGGACCAGGCATCGATGAACCTGCACCACCAGCATTATCCCAACAGCGCTGCTGGCCTACTGGAAGTCTGCCTCAGGCACTGCGGCTGCTTCCCCTTCCTAGACACTCTGCAGGGAAAAAACGATATAAAAGCAGCCGCCAGGTGGCTCCCGACAACTGGCGTGAATGTCAGCAGACTACTGGAAGTCTGCCTCAGGCACTGCGGCTGCTTCCCTTCCTAGACACTCTGCAGGGAAGAAACGATATAAAAGCAGCCACCAGGTGGCTCCCGACAACTGGCGCGAATATCAGCAGAACAGATCCAGATCCCAGGCTGGCAAGGGCATCCCACCACCTGCAGAGAGGACCTAATGGCCTAACGCATCCTGGCCCTCCCCCACCTCAGGATAGGCGCCAGACGGAGGGTTCATGGCTGACGAGTGCCGCTGTGGCAGCAGGAGCCTCTCCTGATTGTGACTGGGCGCAAGCCCACAGCAGGCACAGAGGGGCAGGAATGAGCAGGAGCAGCAGGCAGGAGTGGCAGGCAGCTTTGGACTGTGGGTTTCTGCCCAATCCTCGCAGGCCACCCCGAGGGACCCCACCCGTGCATGAATTTGTGCACCGGGCCTCTAGTATGATTATATTTTCTTATTTTGGTCCATTTATTACAAAACTTAGCATTCTACATATGATTATTTCATTAAAAATATATTCTAGAGATAAGTCCACAGCAATATGGAAATTTCTTTTTTCATTCCTTTTTTATAGTTGCATAGTATTACATTATGTGGATTCACATAATTTATTCTACTCATGTTTGTTCCAATCTTTTGTATCACAAACAATACTACAATGACTAACCTTGTATGAGTGGTGTTTTGTGTTTGTATAGTTGTTTGTCTAGATATTTATCCTAGATAGCTTGGTCAAACCAAAAAACCACCTCTAAAATTTAATAGACATTGAAAAATTCTCAGAATTTCTACTGCTTGGTGTAATCACCAATGACATATGAAAGTGCTTGTTTTCTCAAAGCCTTAAATAATATAAAAGTATAATTAAATTTCTGAATTGTGACTAGGTGAGAAATTGCATTTCAGTGTAGATTAAATTTGAAATGCTTTTATTAAAATTATTGTTATCTTTTCATTGTTAAAGGATTTAGGTTATTAATTTTTTAGGAGATCTTTATATATAGGAAAATTAGCCTTTATCAGTGATACATTGCAAATACTATGCTTTTGTTTTACATTTTCTTTCAATTCTGTGACATTTTTGGTCATGATAGAATTTGTTGTCTGTTTTTAGTTTTCTTATTAAACTTATCAATCCTTTCTTTTGGGCTTCTGGATATTGAGTCAGAATTAGAATGGATCTCCCCACTCTAAGGTTATAATGAATTACTCCAATTTTCTTTAGAACTTCTACCCTCTTTTTCCTTTTTCACATTTAAACCTCTGATAGGTTTAGAATTTAACCTGATGTCAGTGGATGTATGAATCCTAATTTCTCTCTGTCCAAGTTACAATACATTTGTTTCAACACCATTTATGGAAAGTTCATTTGTATTCCTCTGCTGATTTGAGGGCCACCTTTATCATATACTACATTCCAAAAAGTTTTGGTCTGTCTTTCTCATAGCTGTTTATCTATCAAATGCCTACTTTCTTACTAGACTGTAAGTTGTGTGAGTATGAGCACTGTGTATTTATTGTTTTGCCTGTGTCCTTCAGAGCTTAGAATGTGTCTGGCACATACTGGTAGCAGGTGCTCAATATATTTTTCCTGTATTTGAGAATGTTTATAAAGTTCTAGGAGAATGGTGCCCCTTTTCCCACAAATAGGTTTAAAGATGACTTGTTTTTAATTTAATAAATATTTTATAGAGCATGAAAATAAAAAAAAATGTGTGGTAGACAGTATACAGTATTATGTGTTCATTTGAGGTACATAACAGTTTTTCTTAAGCAAAATGTTAATTTATTTTAACCAAAAGCATTTGATTCGGTCTATATATTAATAGGGGTCAAAGAATATTGAAATGTTAACATCTAGATGAAACACTTATATTAAGTACAAATAAGATAAAATCAACTTTTATATACAGTAGACACTGGGACTTTGTAGATGTTCATTTCATTCTTTCACCCATTTCTAAGTAACCCTGGAGATCCAAAATATCTAATAAGTTGCAATTTTGGGGGGAAGCATGATCTCAAAACCAAAGAAATCACCTAGCTCATATCTGAGCCTAGATGATCAGGCCCCGCATCTGCTTTTCAATGCAACTTTACTGTTCTCCTGTTGATGTCTGACTTCATTAGGTCCTCACGATAATAATACCAAGTAGAGCATTCTCTCCTTTTTACATACAAGGAAACTCAGACAATTATGTACTATAAATGTCAAAGAATTTTGACATTTGCAAAGATCTCAGGATATATTCCTTGCATATGTCAATAATCTGTATGTAAGAAGTGCAGCATTCTGTTATAGAATTATTAATACATTCAAATAATTTTATCTCATTCTTCATTGGCAAAGCAGCAGCATGAAAAGCAAAAAGCATGTAACTTCAATAGTATGCAAATACATCTCAAAAATCAGATGTGCATGAGATAGTAAATAGCTAACTAAATGTTAAGTAGTGACAACATATTTAATAATAGTTTTAATGGTATAAAAAAATAAAAGGCCAAGATATCCCTCCTCTATTTAGGAACTGATGCTACATTTCCCCATTCCTTATTATTGGAATAACTATTAAATGTATGTATATACATATGAATGTGTGGCATTGTGTTTCTTTTTTTTTATAAAGGCATTGAATTTAAAATTCTTAATCCTATGCAAGGCTAACTCTTTAAGAATGAAAGATTCTGTGATAGACATCTTACTGTACCATCCAAAAGAAAAGAACATAGGACTGGAATATTAAATATCTAGACTTAACTATTAACATGAATTCAATATATTGTTGTACTGAATTAATTTGTACAAGTCACCAGCTTCTCTGGTTATCTGCTAGACCTGCAAAATGAGGGGGATTTGTAGTAATACCCCTAATATCTATTCAAGTTTTTAAAATTCTAAAATCCTATAGTTCTATGATCTGTCTCTAGGCATACCACCCTTTATGACTATCCAGATACCAATTTTAACTGATTACATTTACCAGAATATCAAAAAATGACTATTGAATGAAACTTTAAGAATTCTGCAAAATAACCTGCTTAATGAGCATATCTCAGGTTTTTAGCATGTTGCAATAATATGTATAGTATTCCAGCTGAACAACTTAAAATAATTTACTTCTCTAAAATTGAGTAAATTAATACATCTAATTTTCCATGGGAATTGTGTGTATTTTTGTTAATTGCTATATCCCAATAGTCTGAAAAGTACATTATCAGTAAACAGTATAAATCTGCCCAGTGCCTAAATAACAGTGCTGAAAGTTAACTCCATTTGATCGGTGATGTTGCATAGAGTTCTGGAATCCACACGTCTAATTCCACTGGCATGTGCAGTCTATAGGTTCCTGGAGCGTGTACATGATCTCGGTGCCATTTCCCGAACAATACAGGGGCACAGTCAGATTCCGCACTCCATTCTCACGACAACACTTACAGAATCTTAGGTGGCTCTCAATGTTGATGTTATATATGGTGGCGGATGGGCACTTTCCATCACAAGAAGCAACATTTATCTGTAAGGAGAGATGATGAGAAAAAAACTCTTTAAATTTCAAAATCTGGTTACTTGACTTTACTAAGTCAAATGAAAGCAAGGCTTTCTTATCACTTTACTCTCAAGCTTCTCTATGTTAAAAGGTTGCAAAACATACCAGGTTGAAATTTAGTAACTTAGTTCCATGGTGATGCCTAGGACAGCAATGCTGACATAAAGTATGAAACATGCTCACATAACTAGACAGGTGCCTGCAATATATTGGTCATAATCTAATGAGTCTATTGTAACCCATATTATAGCATGGCTCAAGTAGACTGTGGGATTGTATGGGTCATATTAAAGGAGGTAAAGTTAGAACCAGGACTATTTTTGCTGAGTAAAATTGCATAGTTAAGAAAATATGTAGTCAAATATATTTAGATTCAATTTCCATATCTGGATTGCTGTTTTCACTTCAGAACTTTTGACTACTTATGCTAAGAATAATTCACACTTCTTCACAAAACATTTTAATATTAGAATTTAAGAATAATCTCAAAGCTAAATATTGTGTTAGCATTTTGTTGGCTTACAAACTTATTAGTGCTGTGATACATATACTTTGGAAAGACACATGACCTTTATGTAACAAATGATATTTTTCCACTTACAGAGCTTTGACTTATACAGTCCTGTTTCCTTATAACTGATTTAATAATCACTTTCTGGCATATTCTTTCTTCTCGTTTACCTGATAAAATAGAGAATGTATTTATTCATTAAAAGGCTCATGCCAAATTGTTTCTTAATTCCATTAAAATAATATATTGAAAATTGATGTTTACATAAAATATATTCCTATATTAAGAAATATTTAAAATTTCCCTCATATTTTATGTTCAGTATTTATTTTCACCCTCTAAATAGATTATCTCTTATATTTTCTAGCTTCATACTTCTCTTTACCTTATTGTCAGAATAATTACCATACTCACAAATCAAAAATATTCTACACATACAGTAAAGCTAACAGTATAATATGTACCAACCTCTGTGTGGTATGTAGATAAATAGATAGATAAAATGTTTATTAGATGGTATCTAAAAGTAAATATACACATAAATAATTAAGGCATCTATACATATACTAGTATACATAAATTTATTTTGAAATTAAAAACTAATAGATTTAAAACCACATTATCCTAATGTATATTAATAAAATATCAAGCATAAATTGAACTATTTATCAACCATGATTAAATGTATGGATAAGTGATGCTAATTTGATTTGATGGTTCTGAAATGATCTCTTAGGAGTTCAAATGAAAACACTTTCTATTAATTAATGACATATTAATATGCCTCTGTGTGGGTGATGGATTATCACTTGGCAATACACCAAGAATATTTATTTCATGCTGTATGTAGTAGATATAACTCTGAATCAGGCTGCAAAAGTCCAAGATTTTTTTGCTCTGATACTAAGTTGTTTTGTCATTCTGATGATTTATCTTGTTTGCAAAAGGCTGGGTGTAGATATCCAGTTTTCAAATGGTTTTAGTCACAAAATTATTTTTTAATTAAATACTTCTGTGAAATCCCAACATGTAAACTATATCAGAGCTAAGCTATGCTGGTTCAAGTAAAGATTACCTGAAATTAAACTGTCCTCCTCAAGGTCACCATTGACCTTTAAATTGCTAAAATCAAGGTCACATCTCAGTTCTCATTCTATTTGACTTCCCAGTAGTATTTGACCCAGTCCATCACTCTCTTCTTCTTGATACACTCTCTACACTTGGCTTCTAGAACAGCCACTTTGGTTTTCCTCTCAACTCATTTGTGGCTCCTCCTCTACCTCCTATGCTTGTTCTTTCTCCTTTCCCTGATCTCCCACCTACAGTGTGACCCAAGGCTCAGTGTTGGGGACAGAGGGCAGGCTGTTTGTACCTTATAGTGCTTTCACTCAGTCGTTACTTCATGCAAGTTTAAGAATAATTGTTTAGAAAGAAAACATCTTTAACATCACCTGTAAGGTACCTTACCCTCTTCTTTCTATCACTTTCATCCCTGTGCTATAGCCACACCTTTTATTTCCTTTGCTTTCAACACTCTTCATTCTTCTGGCGGACATTCAGTCTCCATTCAAATGACACTTCATTACAGAGGCCTTCTTTAACCACTCACTTAAGTTAGAAACCCTGTTCCCTTCACTCTCTATCCCTTTTATTCTGCACTATTTTTCTTTACATCACTCATCACAACCTGACATAATAATATATATTTATGTGTTCATTGTTTCTTCCACTTCTTGATAATATGCACCATGCATACAGATACTGTTTCATTCACTATCACAGTGCCAGAGCTAAAAGACTGTCAGGTGTGTGGTAGGCACTCACTAAAAATTGGTTTGATAAGTCAGTTAATTTGATGAATGAAATTGGGACAGCATCAATTTAGTTAGACAGCATAAATTTGTTTGTACAAAGAAGCATTCCTATTCATTCTCAGAGACTTTATTGTAACACATTTTGTCTAGCACAGCACCTGTGATAGTATCCAATACCCACAGTCTCCCTGGTTAGCCTGGTCACACAAAAGCAAAGACTGCAGACAAGGGTTCTCTGATACCAAAGCTGAAACTTCCTTACAAGTCCTTACTCATCAGATAGGAAAAACTGAGGTGACTTTTTACTATTCTGCAGCTTCAAAGAGCTTAGCAGAATTGAAAAGCCCCGGGACCAGGCATTAGACAGCCCTTACTCTATTACTGAGGAGTGTGATCAACTTTTCTGACTTTCATTTTCTTTTCTATAGGAGGAGCCATCCCTATCTTCCCATCTAGCTCTCAGAACATAGGAAGATTAGTTGTAGTACTGGTCTGCATTGGGCTTACTAGAGTGTCTATGTGTGACAGGCAATAAATAGTACTAATACGGTCAGTCACACAGATCTCCTATCTACCATCAGATAACATTCACTTCTCTAATAATTAGCATGGAGTTACAGAATCCAGGTTCTTCACATTTGCTCATGATTCTACTCATATCTCATACCTAAAGAAGAGTCTAGACTGAAGAAGCCGAGGAAAAAGAAGTGAAATCATAAAAAATATAAACTTCCTCAGATTCTGGAGCCTAATTTCATTCCTTGGGTTCCTGATACAATGACTACTGGATATACATTAGTTTACATACAATTCATAAAATACTGAATTAAAAACTACTTATTTTCTAACAGAAAAAAAATTTAATTAGTGTGTGTCTAAGAGCCCAGTAATTAAGAATGTGTAAGTGGCATTATCCTATTTACAAAAGTCCCAGCAATAAAAGCTATTATGGGTTGAAATATCCCTATGAGCCTCAAAAATGACCTTACTTAGAGATGGGGTCTTTACAGAGGTAATCAAGTGAAAATGAGGTCATTAGGGGAGGCCCCAATCCAATCTGACTCATGTCCTTATAAAAAGGGGGGATTTAGAGAAAGATACACATACAAGAAGAACCCAGCATGAACATGAAGACAGGCCTCTACAGGCTAAGAAGAGAGGCCTGCAGCAGATCTTCCCCTCAAGTCCTCAGAAGGAACCAACCCATGGACCTCTGTATTTTGCACTCCTAACCTCCAGAACTGTGAGATGATACATGTCTAAGTCACCCAGCTTGTGGCACTTGGTTATAACAGCATTAGCAAACGAATACAATATCACATTAGATGTCAGGCCATCTTATGTTGAACTCTTTTTGTTGTGGTTTGTGTGTGTCAGATTTACATACCATGTAAATAAAAACTGCCATTCTAGCCTAAAACTCCTGTTTTTATCTTGAGAAAGTCATAAACACTTTAAAAAGAAAAAAAGAAAAGAAAAAATGGCTGCATTAATACCTCTCTATTCTATTTCAGTGCTTAAAATCATTAAAAATTACTATATGAACCCCAGCTGGCGTGGCTCAGTGGTTGAGCGTTGACCTATGGACCTGGAGGTCATGATTCAATTCCAGAGCACATGCCCCGGTTGTAGCTTGATCCCCAAGATAAGGTGTGTAGGAGGCAGCTGATCAATGATTCTCTTTTATCATTGATGTTTCTATCTCTCTCTCTCTGTCTCCCTTCCTCTCTGAAATCAATAAAAATATATTTTTTAAAAATTACTATGAAATAAACCTTATCATTTGAACTAATATTGTGTGTACATACCTTTATCAAAACAATTATTGGGAAGTTTTACATATAGGATTTAAATGTACTCATTAAATTGCATTTCTCAAATGTATCATACAGAACCATAGACTTGTCCCAATAGGTTTGGGAAATACTGCACTTTGCCCTTATTGGAGTCACAATGACCTTCTCATCATAGCCTACTTACTATTGCATAGTTCCGCATGTTCCAAGTAAATCTGACCATAGAGCACTTTTAAACTTAAACCCATTAAAGTCCTACACAATACCTTTGGGGAAATGCAACAATAAAGAAATTTCTAATATTTAAGTTAAAATTTAGAGAAACACGTTACTCAATGAAGACTAAATTACAAAATAATCAGCCACGACACAAAAATATTTAATATGCATCATACAATTTGTTTCCCTCCACGTGTATAAGAACTGAATTTTACAAGAGAAATCCTAGGACAATTAAAAGTAATCTATCAAATTAATCAATGTAATATGTCTTCACTTACAGATCTTGCAACAGCCTTCATTATAAAGCTTTACAACTCCTTCATTCTAGGAAGAGAGGAGAAAGTCAAAACTCACAGTGTTTGTTTATTTCCTCTTGGACTAGAAATGGAAAACTAACTCTCTCGATATTTTTATTAAGTGAAAACGATTGGAATTTAACTACTAATAAGAATTCCTTTTGTAAAAAATGTAGGAGCATATATTTAAAACATTGTTATTTCTTTATTCATAATACGAAAGTGTAAAAAGATTAACTTCCTTAAAAGAACACTACAAAACTTTAGTTTTTTAAGAATTATAGATTTATTATTATATCTGCTGGCAGAAGGGCTGAGACCAACATGGCATCAGCCCAAATTTTTAAATAAAAAAAGTCTTACCAGTAGAGGCCATTATATTTTTCAACTCTACAAAAGAATATAAGCTACTCTATAAGACTAGACTGAATTTCTGATATAGTCGAATGTTAAAATGGTGTATCTTTTTCTTTAATATTTTGCTATTTAAAAAAAATCTCTACTCCAGAATGGCTTCTGCCTAAGGATAAATTAAGAAAATTTTATTATCTTTTAGAATTATTACAGTAAGTTTCTAGTTGCTTTCAGCAACTTGATAATTACAATTCAAATTTTAAAATCTGTGAATTAAGATGGTGTCTAAGATTCTTTCCAGACCTGAAATTCTATTGCTTTAGTACATATTTGATCTACCTTGCCAGCTAGCGAGTTATCCGTCATTACTAAAAAAGGACATTTTGAAAAAAATTAATGAGACTGTTATTTCTCTACACTTAGAAAATATTGCCCCCCACAACAGAGCAAAGCTTACTTTTCACTAGGGATTATTACCTATTAAATAATTAAAGCTACAGATAATCTTTTTTAAAAATTGTATTACTTTCACATGGAATAGGAAGTTGTTCCAGCAACCTTCAAAGTTAGTAATAAAAAGGCGGAAAAATTGTATCACTTTTAAAAATCTGAGAGAATAAGGAATTGGGAGAACAAAACTGAAGGACCAGCTATGACACGTGCTCAGTTCTACAGTGGCCTGTGCTCAGAGGAGCTAAGACAAATTTCACTCAGGCCAGCATGCATTAAAAAGTACATTACATCATAAATCTGGCTGTGTGTTTAAGAAAGAGAAAATCATTCAAGCTCTGATTGATTCGTTTATTGATCCATATTGAGAAAGAGGCTAGATGATCAAATGATTTTTCAATAATCCTTTATCTACATATTAAAAACCCAGAAATAGCATAATGTGTATTCAGGGAGAGTGAAAATTATTTGGAATATCATATATAATTCAAAATGGAAAACTGAGGATATATAATAGAGCCTTTATGTATACATGAAAATAAAACATTCATCAAAATAAATAAGCTACAATGTATGTATGACCTTGGAAAAAACACTATTTTCTAAATTCCATTTAATACTAAATGTTCTTAAATATAACAAAGTACAAACCATTTTGCATTCAGTCTCATTAAAAGGGGGGCAGACCATACTGTAGTTCAGAATCATTGTTCCTTCATCAGTCTTGACACATTCATATGTGGTACAGTTATAGTGCCACATACTCCCCTCCTAAAAATAAAAGAGAAAGTATCTGTTTTACTATTGAAATCTGCTAAATTTCTGAAGTAAAATATTTTCTATCCTACTGAATCAAACAGCATGATGAAGAAAGCTTTTTGAGTCATAAAACGTCCATCTGGAAATGATTAAAATACATGCACGGTGTGTGTGTGTGTGTGTGTGTGTGTGTGTGTGTGTGTGTTTGGTTTCATACTAGAACTGACATGTAAATGTGTAAAGCAGTAGGGAGTAAAGAAGCAAAAGGTATTTGTTTCTACTATAAAATTATCTAATTTGATCAAGTGTCAAATGTCTTGCTCTCCTATTTCCCTCACTAATTATAAAAAAACAAATCATATTATGTAATACACCTCCTTTCTTGAGACTTGTTTATTCTTCCTTCCACGCCCTTGTCAGCAAAATATTTAAAAATCTTCACATGATAGTAATTATTGACTAAAGGTTCTAGTTTTGTATACCTTATGGCTATTTTAAAATCTATTCCTAGTCTTTTAACTTTTAAACATAATAACTGTTTATTTCATTCCTGATGTCAGAATTTCTATATAGAAATAAAGTCTGCTAGCCCTAGCTGATTGTGCTCAGTGGGTAGAGCCTCAGCCCAGGGACTGAAGGGTCCCGGGTTTGATACTGGTTTAGTTGCAGGCTTGATCCCCAGCCCTGGACAGGTCTCTCTCTCTCACATCGATGTTTCTCTCTCTCCCCCTCCCTTCCACTCTCTCTAAAAATCAATGGAAAAATATCTTCAGGTGAAGATTAACAAACAAATAAAAACCAAAAAGAAAGTCTGCTAAACATATTTATTACATAATTATCCTATATAATAAAAGCCTAATATGCAAATCAACTGAACGACCGACAGAATAACCAGTTGCTATGATGTGCACTGACCACCAGGGGCAGATGCTCAACACAGGAGCTTCCCCCAGCTTGCAGGCCATAGGCCAGCCAAGGCGGGTGCCATTGGGGGCCCCCAGTCACCCCGCCAGTTGCCCCACAGAGGGAGGCGATCAGCAGCGGTGGGGGGCAGGGCTGGAGAGCAGGCGGTGCCAGGCTGGCTAAAGTGGGTGCCAGTGGGATCACCCCAATAGCCCCACTGGTTGCCCCACAGACGGAGGTGACTGGCGGCAGTGGGGGGTGGGGCTGGCCGGTAAGCAGACAGGGCCGGCCTCCCTGATCGCCCCACTGGTCGCCCCACAGATCAGCCCTGATCGCCAGCCAGGCCTAAAGACCCTACCTGTGCACAAATTTTGTGCACCAGGCCATGAGGATTAACAAAAAAAAAA